GTTGTATTTACCTACTTTTGAGAACTGCTAAGACCAGATGATTTTTATTATGTCCTGATACATAAAACCATAGAACTCAAAGAGGGTGTAACTTTCTTTTTCACATGATTGTATGTGTTCGCAAAATCATATATGCAACAGGAAAATCAAAGGATTTGTCTTTTTAGCTAGAAGCAACAAAACAAATAACATTTTAAAAAGTAAGTTTGATTCTGGTTAATACATGAATGACTATCCTGAAGTTGGTCATGAAGACCATCATGAAGACTACATCAGAAGGAAGGAAAACAAAAAAGTAGCCATAGATGAGTCCATGTAGTCACTAGGAACTGAGCTCTAATTACCTTCTTAGGCTTATGTTACTTTGACAGTTCATCTCACAGGATATCTCTTTATTCATTGTCTGACTCCTTACAATTGAAGTGATATTTATCCAATAGCATACTTTGAAAAAATGAATACAATATTTCTAGGTTTTATATGCTTAATATTAAGATGCTGAATTATTTCTGGTGGTGGCTTGCTCTTATCCATTATACCTTTCTCCTTGGGTTGGGAGAGGCTGGAGTGAAATAGTTTGGACTTTGAGATGCAATCAATAAATAAGAAAAAGTGGCAGGAACACATGGCAGTCACTGCATTGAAGATTCTGAACTTTTGGTCTTTGTTTTGGGAAAACTGACGAATGGTATCTGTCACGGGTAGTTGTGGTGAACTCATGGGTTTCTGTGAGATAATTTAAATTTTTTCAATTATGAAGTTGGGTTTTCAGTGTTCTTTTGGCTTAGGGGCAGCATGAAAAAATGACTGAGATGCCAAGGGCTGTGAACCAAGAAAGTTTGGGAACTTTTAGTGTCAGGCTTTTGTCTGATCTTCTTGCTTTTGTATGCTTAAATTAAAACATTAAATTAAAGAAATATTACAAGACAGAAAAGCCTTCAGTAACGTCTTCTCACAACTGAACTGATTCAGTAAAGCATGCCTGTCAAATTTCCTATCACACTGGCAAAGTAGGGAATATGTGAACCATGAATTAGCTTTTTTAATCATGCCATATTTTGTATTTTACATGTAATCTGACAAATAATACACTCTGGCCTGCTTTAATTCATGAGTGATTCAAGAAATGGGTCTTGAAGTAGGTAAATAATTAGAATTGTAGCTCAAATAATGTCCAATATTATGTCTCGCTATTATAAAAATTAGGATTCTTGCTTATTCTGTTTTTTTAAAGCTTTCTCTATCTTTGGAACATGGAAAAAAATCCTAATAGAGAAAAGTATATTCATGTATACATTTCTATAAAGAAAATATTTATTTGAATCATTTTCAAAATATAAGGACTGATTGCAAAGAGGAGTAAAAGCAAATGCAATTAAACTTTTGTGGATTTCAACTTGCTGACCTGGAGCCCTATTTAATGTCATATTTATACCAAAATATATTTTGGTATTAAAGCAATAATTGTTATTGAGAAACACAACATTGCCTGCAATGCATTTTATTGGTTAATACTTACAAAAGGTAGAAAGATAGGAAAAAAAAGTTAAAAATGACTCAAGTCTAAATTCCTAATATGTAACTTTACCCTTACAGCCAGTCCTCATTTAGCAACTACCTCAGTTAGTGACCATTCCGAAATACGACAGCAATAAATGGTAGTAAAAAAAATCATTTTCTGACCAAAGCACACACTTACATCCAGATTTCTGTGTCTGACAACAGAAATGAGTGAGAGTAACACTGGTGTTGCTGCATGAGACAACTTTATCTAAATGAGACAGCAGCAACCAATGATCTTCACAGCATCTCTCTCTCTCTCTGTCACATGGTTCACCTAGGGATCATTTTGCTGGAAGGGATTGTGGGTGTTAAGCAAGGACAGCCTGTAATACATAACACTTTATTTGCCTTTTTTAAAGCAATGTTTTATAATTGCACTATGGAAAATACCTTTCTTTAGAATTAGGTGACATTGCCTTTTTGAATTTGGTAACCATTTATTTGAACATATACTTTATTTTTTTAAAAGATCCAAATCTACTTCTTCCTAAGAAAAGATCCAAATCCCTAGTTCTTTCCAAGACATTTCTACATAACTGAACAGGAATTGGGACTTTAATCCTTTATTTTATAAACTTGCTTATATGACAGAAGTATTTGTTAGTTGTATATGCATATGGTGTATGCATATGTAGAGGATTAAGTCATCTGTATAAATTAAATAAATAAATCTTCGTTACCATGCTGCCAGTGGGGACCATGTGAGCACGCGAGGTGGGTTAGGCTTGAAGAGGGAGGGACATGGGCCAAGCTGTATATTTTAATAAGCAAATTATTTTTCATAAAATATTTTGTTTGCAAATTACGCTCTATGAATCTTTCAAAATTTGAGGTTGATTCTCTTTTAACAAGCTTTTTAACAAGCTTATGTACAAAAAATGCTTCTCATAAAGATACAGAGTGTAAACTTGTTTTAACTGACCACTGGAAGCAGGAGGGGGGTGTCTGTTATTCAAATTATTAGCAAACTGGAGAATATGCCACTGTGAGGTTTTACATAATCTGCAAATGATACAAATTAAAGCAAGGCTTCTGGGATCAGAGGAGGTGAATAGCCACCCAAGCACCTCTAGAGAGTTCCCAGTTGTAGGAACTGTGTTGCTCAGTTATGTTGCTTGGTGTCATTCTTTCAAGGTAGGCCAGATCAAGAAACAGACACCACAGGAATTCCAGGAATGCCACTATATTATGGTTCTGTATAATAACAGTATCTTGAAAGCCTGTCCAAGTTCCTTTCTGTCCCCTCTTATAACAAATAAAATCAAAGCAGGCTTATTTTGAGTTCCTTTCTCACCCTTTCTTCAATCTCTGGACTCTGTAATCTCTTATCCAGGTCTTTCCTAAACAGCTTTCTCATACCTTCCTCAACATCAGCTCTACATTCCTTTGCACTTGGCTATAGGTCCAGCCTTGTGACCTTCAAAAGAAGACTGCAGAGAAAGATGTGGCAGAAGAAATAGTTGATTATGCCTTTCTCTGCTGTGGAAGAGTGAACTCACCCCCCAGAGAAAGCTGGCATTTTTTCCTCTCCTGCAATCCAGAGTGTTGGTGCTGGCTGGGAAGGAGGGTTTAAACAGCCCCCCTTCTTAATTGGAGAGCTTGTCCCATTAAAGGGAATTGAAAGCAACCATCTGTGTGGGTGTGTCAAGAAAGGAGTCAAAGCCAGGAAGACAGCAGGGACTCAGCAAAGAGAAAGCTTCAACTCATAGACAAGCTCTTCAGCAGCAACGGTCTTCAGACAGCAAGGGAAAACTTCAATTCTTGGAGCTGCAAGACCAGCTGACCAACTCAAGCAAGCCTGCAAACCAAAACAAGACGGCTGCATGCAGCAGCCCAGTGGCAGAGCTCCACAAACCAGCTCCAGAAGCAGAGGTTGTGAGTTGCTGGGGGTGGGGGGAGAGAAAAGGGTTTTCACATGCAAATAGACTGAGATTGGCTACAAGAGTTGAAGGCCTGAGGGGAAAGGAAAGATTTAAAGAGCTAAAAATAGTTAAGATAGGAAAACATAGTGCTACAAAATATAGAGGTAGGACCATAGATATAGAGATAGAAAATTATAGATAAAATAAGATAGAAATAGATAAAATAAGATAGAAATAGTTGTAAACTTACAGTAATAGGAAGACAGTAGAATAAGATAGGAAAACCGAAACAAAGAATTAGCATTAACTTTAGAAGTAAGGAATGGGAGTTTAATGTTGTACAGTTTTTGTGGGAAAAACAAATTCAGTCTTTGTGTCTGTGTTCTGTACCATATTTAGAAAAACCCTGCACTGCCTGGAACCACCCCACTGTCACTTAGCTCTTGGTAAACCAGCGGCATGTGACTGTAGCTTGTCTTGGTGGTGCAAGCAGGATATGGCAGTGGTGATGGCAAGGAGAAATGGAAAGGAGGAAGTGAGTAAGCAAGCAATGCTTGAAGCCCTGAGGTAAGGTAGCAATGGTGTCATTTACATCATTTGCATCAGAATTCAGCCCATTGTATTAAAATCTGGAAAATCAAGACTTCACTGTGTTAAATTGTTATGATCAATAGTGTGGTTTTTCATCCTTAATGATAGTGCCCTGAAGACTTATCCCACTGAACCAGTCGTGAAAAAAAGGCTTCTGAAAATACCAGCAAAGGGCAAATAACAAAGAGCAAACAACATGCAAACAAAAAAGTAACATAAAATTCAAGTCTAATTAGCCAGGCTTTCAATGTAGCTATGTCAGCAAGCTGAGAAGAATATGCTCACACTTCACACAGTACATATAAGAATGCAGTTTTTTTTAAGTCATAATAGTTCTCAATATATGATGAAATTAGACACATGCATAGAAATGAGGATTTGTGCTGTGAGATTGAGAAAGCAGTCTGAAGTCTAGTTTACCTTCACTATCTGACATGGCATGCTGGAAGTCATCCATGAAGAAAGCAATATCTCGATCATAGCCTCGAGCTCGTGATTCCTCCCTCATATGCTGTTGGACTTCAGGCAATGAATGGCTTGAGCCGAACTGGTCCCTAGTGTCTGCAGATATAGGTGGTAATGGCCCAGCTGCTGCTCTTGCCATTCCCATTGGCTGGCCCACTGGACTTAAAGGACTCTCTTCTTCTGAGTTCTGTGCTACTATTGGAATCCTTCCTCTGCTTTGACTTATAGGTAGACTGGTAGGTTTAGTTCTTCCAGAAGGAGCTACATGGCTGAAGGAAACATCTAGAGGTTCAGCTTCTTGGGCTTTCAATCTTAAAGAAGAGCTGGAAGTATCTCGTTTTAGTGATAAGTCAAGCCCATAGACAGAGGATGGCCGTGAGGAAGGTCTAGATCTAGTAGCACTGGCATAAGATTTGTCAGCATCATCTTGTAAAGTTGATCTCATTGTTACACTCAGTGCTGCCCCGAGGCTTGTTCCAAGGGAATGAGTTAAACTTGGACCTATGTACTTCTGTTGGTCTGTAATATTTTTTCGAAGGCCAAATGTTAGGTCATCTTGGAGGAGCTTTGCTTTGGAAGTGATACTACCAACTGATGATATATTGGAAGTCAAATAGGTTGAATAATCAAGCTCAAGGTCTCTGCTTTCCTGAATTGGTGAAAATTTAGATAATTTAGGATCTATCAAAGCTTTTTTGTGCTTTGATTGCTTCTGATAAAGAAGGGCTGCTGGAAGCTGCTTGGCAGCTTGCTTTTCTAAAGTAAGCCTGCTTATGCTATATTTCTCAGATTTGGGGAAATGTCTGTAATTAGTATCTGCGTGATAATAGTGTGAGAGGCCAGCCAAGTGATCCATGCTTTCTGCACCTCTTCGAAACTCCTGTTTGATCTGATGTTTTAGAAGTTTCAATTCATAAGGATCCTCCATTGGGTCTTCATCAGTTTTCATGTAGCTATGCAGTCTTGGAGAAGTTTGTAGTGGTGCAAGGAAATCTGAGACTTCTTGTACTCTCCGAGCCTCGGTGGTTCGAAGGAGCCTATCAGTTTTGCTGAGATCCTTTTCATGTAGACCATATGCAGAACTTAGGGTTGATGTTTCTTTAGCGAGATCCCCAATATCATCAATCAGCACATAACTGCGTGTACTGTGGTGGTCAATGTCTGCATAGAATGAGTCACCAGATATGCTTGAGATGGGACTACTGGCCATGCTGCTCCTTTCATCCAGTCCCATTCTTAAATCCAAAGTGCTATACTTGGTACCCAAATGAGGCACTGAATATGAATTATCAGAGGAAGCAGGTGCTATCATGAGAGGTGGATTGTGAATTACATCATAATTTGTTGTTATCTTGGGATCCAGGTATAATGGAGTTTGCCTTGTCTTTTGTGGAATCATCATCAATGGTGATGAGAGCTGATAGGAAGGTTGTAAAGTTGGTGGTGGTTGAGCTTGAGGTGTAAAGGACATGGTCACCACAGTTTGAGTCTGATAGGGCGAAACCTGCTGTTGATATAAAGGCTGCGGCTGCTGGTAATGTGATTGCTGAGTATACTGAGTTGGTGCCTGAGTAGGAATGGCAGGTGAAGAATATTGATACTGAGTATAAGGACTTGTAGGAGTTGCAAATTGAGTTTCTGGCTGTGTCTGTGGGGGTATAAATTGATCAAATTCTGTTTGGGGTGCAGTTCTTGGTCTTTCCAAGCCATGTTGGGATTCTACCCTGGTAGGCCTGGTGCTGCTAACTTCACTATCAGACATATAATCACGCTCCTCTGCAACACCTTGCAGGTAGGCTCTTTCCCTCTTTTCTCTTTCTTTTAGCAGGGCTTCTTTACGTCGATTTATGCCCATTTCTAGATACCGGAGTTTTGCATCTATTTCTTTTTCTTCTTCATCAAGCTCTGCTTGTTTTTTGCGAAGCTTAGCAGACTCTCTTTCTACCAAATCTAGTTCTCTGTCTATATCCTGGAGGATTTTAGCTCTGGCCATGGTATTGCTTCTGCATATCCTTCGGCGTGAAATTGACCCAACAGTGGGGAAGGCTGATTGTGTTCCGACTGCAACATCCTCTGGAGGTGGGTTGGGTAGAGTTCTTTTGACCTTTTTCTGCATTCCTGATGATGCTGCACTTGAAGGTTCTTTAGCTTGCTGCGCACATAGAAAAAGAGAATATACATTATTTTGGAAATGGGTAGTTCAAGGCAGCAAACTTGTGACCCATCAAGCTAAAGACAACACACTCATTGCTAGAAAAAGTGAAAAAAAAATGGTTAAATGACTGGAACAATTTTCCTGAAGGCATGAAAGAAAAACTAAAGAGTTGAGGGGTTTGTCTAGTTTAGAACAGAAAGTACTTTGGGGAAACAAAATAATATTTTATAAATTTGGATGGTTGAAAAATGTGAATAGAGATAAGTTTTCCTTTCATGAGGACAAAATTCAAATGAAAGTATTAGAGTTAATAAAGACCATAAGTATTTTAATATACAATGTATAATTCTCTTATGGAGCTCAGTGTTTAAGGATAAGGTGTTTATCATCGTTCTAGGCAGTTTTAAAAGAGAATTGACCTGCCATGCCAGAGGCAATGTATTAATATCAGGAACTGGAGAGTCAACAATCTGGAAATACTCTGGGGATTTCTTGAAGGATTTGTCTCACCATTGCTGGGAACAAAAAACTGGATTAGTAGATACCTGATACTAGAAACTCTCCTTCATAATGATAAATTTATGAAGGTATTGATGGATTACCATGCATATCTCCTGGACTGTATTTGATTAGTGGGTCACACAGCATGCAGATCTGGAAGACTATAAAACACTTTACATTAAAAAATATATTTTAAATAAGGGTCATAAAGAATTTAATTGGAACAAGAGTATATGCACACATTTATAGAACAATTATTAAGATTTCTGCTGACAAATCCAATAAACCTCTGTACAATATGTTAAAAAAAGAGAAAGTTGATGCTTTTGTTACAAGCAACATATTTACCTAACAAAAATCTACAATGTTTTGTGCTGTGAACAAATTTTCCTCCAAATCAAAACAATTTCTGACATCCATTGCCTTATCGAGGGCACTTAATTTTAGAGATGTGTCTAGTTTGATAACCAAACAGGATGTCAGTTGTTTGAAAATTGTGCCAGGATGAATCTGAATTTGACTGAGCACGCTTCTTCTTTTTCCCCATGCCCATCTAATCAATTTAGGAAGGCATGAAAGATAGGCACAAGAAGGTTAGAAAAGAGAGACAAAAAATGATGAAGAATGCTGCTACTGCAGTGCTATCTTGCCAAAAAAAAAAAAAAAAAGTTAATCTCCCCTCTAATTACAAACTATTCAGACTGCTGTCATATGGCAATAGCGTCCTACCTATTAAATGACCAGGATTGGGTCAATTAGAATTTTGTACCATCACTATGACAATTAGAATTGATTGTTTCCTCAATATATGTTAGTGCAGATATGAGTCAATTAGAATTTTGTACCATCACTATGACAATTAGAATTGATTGTTTCCTCAATATATGTTAGTGCAGATATGAGTCAATTAGAATTTTGTACCATCACTATGACAATTAGAATTGATTGTTTCCTCAATATATGTTAGTGCAGATATGAATAGGTTTTTATTGGATACTGTGTTATGTAATTTTTAAGTTCTGTGTGTTTGGTCCATGACCGTATATTTTAAGAAACCAAATCAAAATGTTACCTCTTTGAGAAAGCTGGCCACCAGCTTGATACCTCCTTCCTTGCTTGCACTTTATTAACATAAAGTAACTTTATTCACTAGATGTGTCTGTTCCAAACTAATTTCTTGCCTCTTCCTACCACTTCCTTATGATCAAAATGTTTCACTTGCAATAAAATGGTAATTAATATTCCAGTTCTAAACAGAACTGGAAATCAAAGTAGATAAGATCTATGATAATAGTTGTCTAGATTTTGTAACAGGCTCAGTAAGTTGAAAGACATAAAGCAATCTGCCTGACAACTTTAAAAAAATATATATTTAGGGAAAAAACAATACTTTACCAAAGAAGTGCATTACTATTTGTCACACCTTTCATCACTTTCTGGTGCAGTGAGTTCTTTATACTTTGTGCAAGTCTACGTTACATCAATAAATCAAGGGAACTAATTTTCTTTTGGCATGTACCGTATTTTTCCGACAATAAGATGTCACCATGTACAAGATGACCCCCACTTTTCCAGCCCAAAATTAA